CCTAGGACCCATAAGAATATACGCAGCAAGGCTCATGTCATAATGCACATAGCTCAGTTTGATAGAAATACGTCCAAATAAGAGAATTATACTGCCATATTATGAAGGAGAAGTACGGTATCCGCCAAGTTTTCAATTTTGAGTTTACTTCTAAAGTCAACGTAATTTAAGACGGAGAAACCTTTAAAACTCGTCAAAATTTCCGGAAAGTTATAATTCACGAACAACTAAACACGTGTTCTCTCGTATGTGGAGAAATTGAGGTGTTGTAGTGTAAACAACCGTGGCGTTTCCGGATGGAGAGCGCAGACCCATCCATACGTCTGTTTTCGTATAGGTACATACGTTGTGCTATGCTGAGTGGAAGACCATCTTATGCAAGTGGATCGGCGTTGTGAGTAAATATCTGTCCATCAGTCCGCAATCCGCTGTGCAGATTTTGCATTGACATAGAAACACCACCCAGCACTGCCAGCAAACGTACCTGATCGAACTGTCTTACTTTTCTACCCGGGCGTTCAAGTCTCTGCGTATGTATTTTAAACCGAGGGTTCTAGCACCTCCAACAATTTGTCGGCAAAAATACATTTACAAGGGAGCAACATTGAAATGTAACTATGTTCTCTCGTCTCAAGATATGTACAGGACTGTGTTTTTTTTTAGCCTTTCTCTCTCTTTTCGTCCAAGTTTCCCGGGCAACTAAGAAAAGTTCGGCCGAGAGTCCTCTGAAAATTGCCCGGAGAAGTTCTCCTTCCCCGGAACGAGGAAAATCCCAGTTATATTCCTAGTAACAGATAAATACGGTTCTTACCCAGAACCCTAGTAAATGGACAGATGATTACGAAGAGGAAGAGGAGGAAGAATGAGATGAGGAAGAACGATGAAGAATACATAGAAGAAAAGTAGGCAGAAAAAAGGGAAGGAAAAAAGAAGAATAAAATGAAGAACAGGAAGGGGGAGAGGAAGAAGATGAGGTTAAAGGAAGGAAGAGGAGGAGGAGAAAAAGAAGTATAGAAGACGGAGAAGGAAAGGAGGGAGAGGGATAGAGAGAGGAAGAAGAATGAACATAAAAATCTCTGGGAAATTAAGTAAATTAATAGAATGCGGGACATTTTGGCGCCCCCACGGTTGAGACACCCCCCCCCCCCCCC